TATATATATTAGTTGGCCAATTAATTTCTTCCTGTTTATAGTAGAGACGGGGTCTCGCTCTTGCTCAGGCTGGTTTTGAACTCCTGACCTCAAGCAATCCGCCTGCCTCGGCCTCTCAGAGTGCTAGGATTACAGGCGTGAGCCACCGAGCCCGGCCAGGACTGTCTTAAAAGTCTAAAATAAGCACCATGCAAACTCAACACATGATTAAAAAGCTGCCATACATCATTAATATTCAGCGCTGGGGACAAGATGGTAGGAGTGTGATTAGTACAATCTTGAAAATGAATTAAGCTGCATATAAAGATCACTTAAACACGTAATCTGGGAATCAACCCCAAGGAAATAACAAAAGTTATAGATGAGGGTAACCATCTCAGAGTTGTTTTGTTTTGGCTTTTTTAGAGACTGGGTCTTGCTCTATTGCCCAGGCTGGAGTGCACTGGTGTCATCATAGCTCACTGCAGCCTCCAACTCCTGGGCTGTAGCAATCCTCCCGCCTCAGCCTCCCAAGTAGCTGGGACTGGTGCACCACCAAGCCCCAGCCCAATGCTGTTTTTCTTTTTAATGGGAAAATTTGGAAAAATCTTATTTATAGAGGGGGAAACTTGGGAAATACTTTTCTATGCTAAAGGAATAGGTAAATCAATTTTCTTTTGTACCCTCAGTTGATGGTTGTACAACCATTCTATGTGGTTTTTTTTTTTGTTTTTTGTTTTTTTCTATTTGAGACAGGGTTTCACTCTTGTCTGGGCTAGAGTACTGTGGCATCAGCCTAGGTCACAGCGACCTCAAACTCCTGGGCTCAAGCAATCGAAACAGCTGGCAACGAGCGAGACGCCGTCTCTACTATAATAGAAAGAATTAATTGGCCAACTAATATATATATGAAAAATTAGCCGGGCATGGTGGTGCATGCCTGTAGTCCCAGCTACTCGGGCGGCTGAGACAGAAGGATTGCTTGAACCCAGGAGTTTGAGGTTGCTGTGAGCTAGGCTGACGTCACGGCACTCACTCTAGCCTGGGCAACAAAGTGAGACTCTGTCTCAAGAAAAGAAAAAAAAAAAAGAGTTCGAGACCAGCCTGGGCAACATAGTGAGAACCCTTTTCTACAAGAAATAAAAAAAAAATTAGCAGGGTGTGGTGGTGTGCATCTGTAGTCCCAGCTACTTGGGAGGCTGAAGCAGGAGAATCTCTTGATCCCAAGAGTTTAAGACTGCAGTGAGGGCTGGGCGTGGTGGCTCACGCTTGTAATCCTAGCACTCTAGGAGGCCAAGGTGAGCAGATTGTTTGATCTCAGGAGTTCAGGACCAGCCTGAGCAAGACGTTCTCTAAAAAATCGAAAGAAATTAGCTAGACAACTAAAAATATATATTAAAAAATTTAGCCGGGCATGGTGGCGAATGCCTGTAGTCCCAGCTACTTGGGAGGCTAGGCAGAAGGATCACTTGAGCCCAGGAGTTTGAGGTTGCTGTGAGCTAGGCTGATGCCACAACACTCTAGCCAGGCAACAGAGTAAGACTCTGTCTCAAAAAAAAAAAAAAAAAACAGATTGCAGTGAGATATGATCATGCCACTGTACTCCCGCCTGGGCACTAGTGCAAGAACTGGTCTCTAAAAAAAAAAAAATTTAAAGTAGGAAGAACAGTAGAAAGTAGTGTGAACATTTTAAAACCTGTATTGCTAAGCTTTCTTGCCTCACTAGATATTTTTCCCAGTGCCTTCAGTATGGGCCAGGGCCCTGCATGCGCTCGGAGCACAGACA